AGTTTTGACCCCCTGCACTTTATGTCTCCCCACCTTCCCCCTCTCCACTTACTTGCTCCAACAATCTGAGAAAATTTGAGCAAGCCCTGCCAAAAGTGTGGGTGTATTTGCAACCCTACTGACTGCACCCAAAGCCTACACCTAGCCAGAGTCGTCTGCCTATGAAGTGTTTCAGCCACGGTTTCAGCACGAGTGCGAGTGAGGCAGAAGCTACACGTGTGTGCATGTCGCCCTGAATGACTCTTGCACTGCATAAGCCCTTGTGCGTAGCTGACAGGCACTTCCAAGGCGTGGAACTCGCTCTCGTAGCTTCTGCTATGCTTGCACTTCCACTGAAATGAAACCTACTTTGGCACCTCTTATCACGTGGCAACCCCGACAAAGCAACACATATATGACGCACAAGTGTACCAAAATTATTTTTCGCGCACGAGTATAGGCAACCTGCAATGCAGTTTGGCGCTACACGTTGCGCCATCTAGCGGCTGCAAAATAAAGAAACTGGGTAGGTCAGGCGTGCGCGGGTCGCGGGTGCAGCGGGCGGTCGCATCCATAAACCACGTGTGAATGTTGCATTCCGAGTCGGCGTGAGCTTTTTTTGGAACCGTTTTTCGTAAAAGTAAGTCCCAACTTCAAGTCTCTACGACCTCACCGGGTTCCTGTAACATCTCGCCTACCTCTTAGAGTTCCCCCCAAAAAAATAAACGCTGCTACTGCTGCGTGAAACACGGCCACAGTCGCGAAGGTGACTCAAGCGTCAAACTTCATCGCTTCCCTTCGAGATCTTGGGAAGCGACACGGCGACAGAAGTGGATTACTGCAGTGCGACGCATCAAGTAAGTGAATTTTACAGAAACTCTTTGGGGGGAAGTGAACGAAAATATATGTGCAGGCTCGGAAAGTGGTCGGACGAACTCGTTTTGCAGACTACTCGGCAAAATAACATATTACAAGTTATATTACAAGTCGCTTTAACAGCCACATAGGGAAATACGATAGGAACAATCGGGCCGATTGCTGCTTCGTTGTGACGTCGAGGATCGGGCGATCAGGTCTTCAAGCGAAAGGCCCGTCGGCCCGTTCCGGCACCGCTAATGCCGTTCGGCATGCGTGGTCGCAACCAAAACCTTCCAAACCTGCGAGTGGATTTTCGTAGCACAAAGTTTTGTTTGTTTCAGCAACCAAATTTAATGCCGAGTCTAGTAACAAATGTGACGGCGTGCAGAAACAGGCTGCTAATGTTTTTTGTTTGGAAAAATTTTGTGCTTAGGGTAAATATCCTTCCACGTATACACTTCGTTGCCTGTCGCCTTTTTACACCAGGCTTTGCGATGTGCGTATGGTTATGTAGCATGCTGAGTTCCAAATTTTATTCTAGTGTGTGTGGCCGTCGGGAGGAGAGGAAGGCCGAGCAAGGCGCCAGCGGGGCCAGCCGGCGAGGAAAGAGGAAGAGCGTGCTGCACGAGGCTGGGACCGGGCAGGAACGATAGAGCTGTTCTGGCTAGTCTGGCCCATGGCGATTCCCGGGAGCATTCCACCAGCGAAGTTCCGGTCAGGACTGGCGGAAGCGGCGAGCCCTGGCCATACCGGCCTGGGCCATGACGATCCCGTAGTGGTTCCGCAGCGAAACTGACTGAGATAGCCCGGAACAGCTAGCCTACGCCGTACTCGCGTGGGAAGGACGATCCGCAGGCCTGGACACGGGCTCCGACTGCGAGTTCTGACCGACGGGCGACAACTAGGGTCGGCGGGTCCGGACTGCCGGCTCTCGAAGACGGGCAACCGGAATGTACAATAAACCTATTCGCTGCCTTCTCGTTCTATTGTGTCACTTCCTGGGAGACGAGCGAAGCACAGACCGATCGGGCGGCCACAAGTAGTGAAGACAACTCAAACTGGTGTCCAGATGACGACTCTAGAATATTCTCTAAACACTTGGACCTATCAAGGCTCCCGATGGTCTTAAAAAACCGCACGAAAAAACCAGGGACGCACGCAGGTGCACACGGGGACTGCTGAAATCGGGGTCGCCGCCGCCCGCAACGGCCCGGCGGGCAGATAGGCCGCCCCAGTAACAGAGGCGCCGCCGCTTGTGGCGCTGAATGCAGTACTATCGTGGCGCCGCCTGGCCATTGCCGGCTGCCTATGCAGAAATATATAAAAAGGAGCACGCCAGTCAACAGGCATGATAAAGAAAGTGCAGAAAGCGCATATATAATGACGAGGCAGCTAAGCATGCATCGTCCTTGGTGGATACTGGCTGTAAAAAATGCACAGTTGGCAGGTGAACTTACACACCAAGCTGGATGTGAGCAGGTTTTCGAACGCTGAGGTTCAAAACCTTGGCGTGAAATGGTTATAACTAAAGTCTCTGCCTTTGATAGATGCTTCAAAAACACTGGCATATGTAGGGTACAGCACAATCCGCTACACCAGACTTAATAGGAATGTAACCAATGGCCATGATAACACTTCCCTTTTGTGGATATATGGTAGCAAAGACAAACCATGCACAATAAATATATTTCATGTGTATCTCCTATTTATTTTACTACAGTTTTAATCTATCTTATGTGCTGCAGTGTCACCCATGCATGTAAAATAATTTCTGATAAACTGCAATCGTTTTTAAATTTGTGAGAATAAATTCTAATTCACAACTATTGTGAGATTTGCGTCCCAGTAGTATGGTATCTCAGCTCAAACTGTTCTTTCACTTAGCGCGCAACTCGCACACTAAATATGTTTATACGAAACTTACCAATGTAGAAGTCCTCGTGGCAGTTGGTTGAGTTGAGCAAGTACTCCGTGAACTGACGAGCGACGCCTAACAAGACGCAATGCATGTAGTCTACATTGAAACCCCACACCAGGCCGAAGTTGGGCAGGGTGGCGAGAGGAGAAGGTCCCTTGACCCCGTTGACCGACACCCCACTCTGGAGGGCCAGCTTCATGTCTCTCAGCACTCCTTCAGGAGTCCTCTCTTCATCTGGTGCGGCGCCTCGATAACGCAGGCTTCCTAAAAGTGTAAAACAAGAGCAGCAGAGTTTGACTTGGCACATTTAAATAGAGTCCAAAAGCAATGAGCGCAACCAACGGGAAGTTAAGAGAAGCAAACAGTGTACAGAATGTAACAGCGAGAGACTTACCCCCCAAGTGCTCTCCACTAGCCAAGCACCAGGGGCACCCGAAGTACCCATTGAAGTGGGTGTGGTTGCGAACTTCAGCCCGCGCTGGCGCATCCACACAGCAGCATAGAGCATGGACCTTGGAAGTCATGACAGTGGAGTCGCTCTCCCAGGTTACGGTGTCGAGAGACGTCACTTCTTCAACAAACTTTGTCATAAAGAGGCCCATGTCCGGGTGGGTTGAGCCAAACCAAAGTCCTGCCAGGGCACAGTGGTCGAACCGGACGGTTGGTGGAAGCTCATTGATAATAAGCTGGATTGGCCAGATGCAGGATCTTGAAGACTTGTACAATGGGCTGCCGTCCGTATTAAACGTGATAGTTAGGTCAGTCCACTCAAGCACACCCGTCTGCTGGAGGTGCTTGTAAGCTGCTCCGCTTGTGATGTCCCGAATGATATCAGAGGGAGCCTGGGCTTCTTCCCTGAGCTTTACCAAGTTTTTGTAAAGCACTTGATTTGTTTCGCTTATTATCTGCTGTATTTGATGTTGCAAACTCATTGTGATGAAAAAGCAGCCATCGCTTTTGGCCTTTGCAAGATCGCATGCCATTGCACACTTGGCACAGACTTGGGTGGTTTGATGCTCGCTTGAATCAAGCAACGATCCGCAGCTTTTACAGTAGTAATGGTACTTTACCACACCTTCAGTTTTGGGCGCCCAAAGCTTCCGGAATAGATACTTGCTGCGCGGAAGCACGTCACTTCCAACACCGAACATTGCGTTTACCATACGCAGTAGTTTCTCCAGCGCTGACCAAGTCAAGTTTTCCGACGTCAGGAAAGACATAATGAGGGCAACAGCCTCTGCTTTGGTTGTCGTTGAGTGAGGTAGTGTGGAATTGCCGTATTCCGCAAAGCTGTCGGCGAGACATTGTGCTTCATCGTAAGCGGGGGGCGACACACTGCCGGGAACGTCATGTTCTTCATTGATGATGTCCTGTTGGCAGGGATCGCCATGAACAAGTTCTGTCTCCCTGTTGCTCGATTCATCCAATGACTCATCAAAGCAAGCACCAGTTTCGAGTTGGTCACCGAGTTCTTCGGCAGGGTCGTCGGAAGTGGACAATGTGGGCTGCCCGTATCCAGACGTAGATGGAGAAGGTGAAGCCTCGCCGCCGGGCGCAATGCTTCCTTCCAGGCAACGACCGCGCTCGGTCTGGTTTCGGCATTTCGTTGAACTCGGAATTATGAACGGCTCACCCTTTTCCAAATAGTTCTTCCTACGCTTTCTCTTGGGCGCTGATTCCATTGTCGTGGTCTCGAATGCACCCGACTAGGAACTAGCACTCGTCACACCTTGAGCGCCTTGAGCACGAAAAGCACGCACATACGATTTTTTTTTTTTTCTGAAAGAGCCAAAGCCATGGAAAGCGAAACCGAGATAAACGGGAGTTTTTTTCTCGTTTTTTTTTTATCTGTATAGTTTTAAACCCTGTACTGCGGCCGCCCGTACAATTTTGTTTCTCACATAATATGACCGATATCAGTTTGATACCTACTGGAAAGGTGCCCATTCAAATATTCTTCGAATTTCGGCAAAAATTACCTTGGTTTCGGTTTATTTCAGATCGGATTGGATTGGCTTTCATTGCTGCAACCAGACACCAACGTCGGACAAACAACGTTTTTTTTTAACAACAAATAAACTGAACATGGTAAATTTTTTATCATTTTAAATGTTTTAAAAATTATTCGAGTAATAATAGTACTGATATATAACAAGGCAGAATGAGTTCAATCCAGTCCAACCTTTACGTACCCACGCCGCCCACGCCAGCTGGCCAGTGTTTTTGGTTGCTCTGGCAGCTCTGGACTAGTGCGATCGGTGTTCAGGACGAAAGCAGACAAAGACACATCACGGTTATTTCATTGTCACTATGTTTTACGCGTACGTGATTTACCTTGATGGCGCAAAGGCTATCGTAAGCGTAAACTGCATTAAGAAATTCAAGCCAGCGAGTGTGGAGGATTTCGACCCCGACGCTCTGAAGAGCGTGTATTGGAAGGCCACTGGAGCGTGCGCCGGGGAAGGCTACTACAAAGCTAAAATCCAGATGCTTTGCGGTAAGTTTTCTATGCATGAAGGGCTCGAAGCACAACGTTTACTGCTAACCGTTAATGTTCGCGAGCCCCGAATTGTTTGCCGAATTCACGCGTCCTTAAAATAAGCGAAATCTAAGGACACGTGCAAAGCGAAAAGTTCGTGGGGCCCCGTTCTGGCGCCCCCGTTCCGGCGTCTAGAATTCGCGAAATTCGGTAGGCACGAATATGTCCCTGCGCACGATTTTCAAAGAACTGGGTGGCGAAAGCAAAGGGTTTTTACATTGAACTACAGGGTGGTCCAGATGGCAGCCACACACTTAGAATAAATCGTAACACGTCGGCTTTGTAAGCTACGACAAAAGTTACACGTAAGTTCGACTAGGTGGTGCATTTAATTTGTGAAGGTATCAACGAAAAGTCTAGTTGAAATAAGGGTTATAGCGCAGGCTAGCTGGTGAACGGCCATACTTGTAAACCCGGATACAAGAGGGGAAAAAAGGGGACAAACACAAGGACTTCGAGACGTAATTCAATGCGCATGTTTTGTTTTACAGAGACACGGGACGACCTGATAGCAGCCCTTAAGAAGAAGCACATGGCGATCCCCATGATTCTGAATTCCAAGTTCGAGGTATATGTGCGCCTTAGGCTGTTTTATTACCTCGTTCTTCTATTCTGTTCAGAACCAGGGGCCTTATGTTGGTATTTTGTGCCCCTTTTTCAAATCGGCTGCAGACTTCACTTCCATTACCTCTGGAAAAGGGGACAGAAAAGCCCAACATATGGCCCCAGTGGGCAGTAATTATGGGTAAAATTGCTTGGTGATGCTCAGGAATATCTTGCATTTTGTTTGCTTCACGAGTAATTGTGTTAATTCATTATGGCTGGTCAGGGCTATTTGTATAGACATTCTTCTTTTAATTGCTTGCTATTCTGATACACAGATCCGGAGGGTAGATACTCTCTATGAAAGCAGACCGCAAACACACAAAGAGCCGCAGCTTGGCCACTCCTGGTCTTGATTGTGCTGTAGCCGAAGTTGTCCCTTTTCAATTTTAAGACACATGCTCTCCTGCTTGGTGTCTCGATCGCATTGCATCTGAAGTTGACCCTCTTCAGTTTTACGAGATGTTTTCGCCTGCCGTAAGTCTCAATCTTGCTGTACTCGGAGTTGCATCTCTTCTCCATTATTGCAAGATGTCCTCGTTTGTCTGGTGTCCTGCTTGCATTGCAGCCAAAATGACCTCTCTTGGACCGTTTCATCCACTTCAATGGTCATCTTGTTACCACTTGCCTGTCTAGCTTTCAACAAACATATTTCCGAAGTGTCCTAGGCACTTCGCTGTCGCTGTGCTTCAGCACACTTGCATAGACGTTCCTCTGGCGAGACCTGCATTCGCTTATTGACAACGATAGATGATGCTCAAGTTGGGTTCACACAGCTCTCCTCAGCTGTGCGACTGCGACTAGATGTTACACACATTGTCATTGCTATGGTAACATTGGCGTTGAAACACTGGCACGTGCACAAACACAGCTCTTGCCTGCACTCGTAACTCTCTTGCAAATGCTTACCCATGTGTGCTCATGAAACGGATACGATGCCCGGCTTTCGACACCAACAGTTGTGGCTTTGAAACACAGTGCCGGCGGCATGTTTTTCTTTTCTGATATTATATTATGCTGGTACATGCTCATTTCAAAAGCAGGTTCAAATCCACCGACTAGTGGACGCCTAAAGTGCATAGGGTTTGCTTATAAATGCTATCGTATTTCAAAGTACTTGATTGCAAGTACAAAGTAACTGAGAGGTTATGTACAGTTGGGGGCAAAAGTTTGCAAAGCACGGGAGCAAAAGTTTGCAAAGCACGGGAGCACCAGCCGAAAAGACTGGCTGTGCCTTTTCCCGGCGCATTGCCACTCTCAAGACCCGCACTTTGCGCGTGCGCTTTCTTTCTTGTTCGTGGTCATGATTTTTTTTGCTTGCTTCCGTTCGACACTCACGAGATGGCAGGGACTGGCGCAAGGTGCCGCGAAATGTTATCTGTAGCATGCGCGAGCTCCGTCGCCCATCACGGTGGCTGAGGCAGACGCGGGGCATGATAGCTGTCATATATGGTGGCACCTTGCGCCGGTCCCGGTTATCTCGTGCACGTCAGGCGTAAGCGAGCAAAACAGACATGACTTAGAGCACGAAAAAAAACACCTTCTCGGAAGCGTGAATCTTGAGAGTGGCCCCGCACCGTCTGAAGGCGCAACCAGTCATTTTGGCTGACGCTCCCGCGCCCCGCAAACTTTTGCCGGCGACTGTACTTCAACTAAGGTTGGAAGTACCCTGGGTGCAAAGTAGTATAATCGTAATTTGCTTTCTAACTAATGTAGAAGTATTCTTTATACAGAATATTTCATCATAGTGTTTCGTTTGACTATGCAGTGTTTTCTGTTAACTGGTTCACTTAGCGCAAGAGGTACTAGAGTTTGTAAAGGACGATACAGCAATAGACTATATGCAAAATGTAGAGCACCAAGAACTACGTCTGCGATCTTGCTAGCGGCGAGAAAACGAAACTGGTGACCCGACGGGCAAAGACGTCATGTAAACAAGCGACCGCACTTCGTGCGAGAGATGCGATGCCAACGCGTTGCTGCGTTCCGTAGTGAAAAACCTTCAATTACATAAACAGGGTTCACTTTTTTTTAAATTTGTTATTTGAGATTTTTGACAGAAACAATCGGTGTCAACACGTGGACGTTATCGCGCAGCATGAAGCCATTTACTACTATTGAAATGGGCTCTAACCTTTTCACGAAGTTGTACCAAATTCGTTTCTTAACTCCTCTCTTTTTTTATTCTTCTCTTTTCGGAACGTTGTAATGACAGCCTGCGTTTTTCTTAAAGCGGCCCTGCAAGGACTTTTTACTGGTTTTTAATTTGCACCGCACCTGAGTGCAGTGAACGTAGTAACTTAATGAAACTTTTATTTTCTCGAAATTCGCTTTATTTTAAAAGTTATTGGCAAATTAAAATTACAAAAACAAGCAAAAAATAACCTCCTTCATGACTGCCTTGGTTGCTTGAGTGGCCATGAACTAGACGAGGGGTAGTAAGATTAGCGAGCGCTCACGGGCTGCCGCACTCCGGTTCGACGGAGCGAGAGGGCGCCACTAAAACATGTTTTGGATAGGCTGTATGTAGCGGGCGGCCAGAGCGGCGCTCAATGCTTTTGCTGCGCGATTAAAGACTAATTTGGCATGGCACTTCATTGGCCACAAACGACAGCAAACACGGGGTAAAGATCAGTTCAAAATGGGAGCCACTTCGCGCTGCCACACCGCGAAATGGCCAAACCGCAAGGCAAAGCTTCTCACCGAAGGCCTTCGGAACGCTCGGAGCCGGTCGGATCCTCCAGCCCGTAAACGACCGCAGCGCCGCCTCGTACATCCGAGACTTTTCCGTGTCGGCGCCTGATCCCACTACTCTTTTCTAGTGTGCGCCGCCTTTTCCACCGCTTGGTGGCGGGTATGTCGACGGGTCATTTCTTGTTTCCGTACTTTATAAACTGCATTCGTTTCTTTTCGGATATAAAATACTGAACAAAAACTACTTTTATAAATAATTGAAACGGTTCGCGCCGCTTATATTTAGTATTTCGACTAAAAAGAAGCTTTTAGTGGCTCTGACCAGTAGTAAGCCCAGGACCTAAAACGTCACATTTTGCGCGCTTTCGGTACCGTGGGTCGCCCCCGTCGCTGAAGGAGGTTTCCGCGTCGTCCGGTTAAAATATGACGCACTGATATTTAGTTACTCTGTCCGTGCCCACTGGCTTGCCCGAGCCCCAAGCGACGTGGAAATAGCAAAAAAGTAGACGCTTAAATATGATTGCAGGGCCCCTTTAATGCGCAAGCAGTTCGATGCGTGCGGACGAGACCAAGGCTGTTAAGCGAGGTAAAAAGGTGACAGTTTTAATAATCTATGCCACCAACCATAATTGAAGATATGTATGGTGCACAGTGAACGACAAAACCTGAGAGCACCACAGAGCCCTCATATTAACGTCATGTACTTAAAAAAAAAAAAATAATTACTTTGGAAAGCAAGAAAACAATCTCATTGCTTTGCAGAGATTGTGACACTTGATCTGGCGTCGGTAAACAATGTTTGTAAAACACCTTTAAAACTAAAGAGGAGAGTTTGTAGATATATATTCTTGAATATTTAAAGCACAGTCATGTAGAATAAAACACACAATAGACACTGACGACGTGTCTGTTTCCTGAACACACGCAGAGACGGGATTTTGCTGCCTTTTTTGTTGGACGCCACGTTCGATTACGTCAAATGTGGCCTTAGATTCATTGCAGTGGCTAAAGCTTCGATGTAGGCGGCGGCTAAATACATTACGTTGTGGACGTCGAAGCAACGCAGGCGTTGCCAACTTCAGCCGCAGCCGAGGTAGAACATTTTAGTGCAAAGGAGCTCGGGGGGTAGTTTTGAGGAAGTCAATACTTATTCTACCGGGGTTGAACAAATTTTCATTCATAGCGCAACATCCATCAACTTTGTTGAGGTCAATACTGTCTGAAACTATTTTGAGCTCTTTGCAACGCCTAAAAAATATTGCCGTGAGCACAGTTACCTTTAAAAAAACACAAAGCATTAAAAAAAAAACATTTCGCCAGTAACAACTAAAATAGAAATACTGTACTAACTTTGAGTTGCATGTATTGGCATGGAGCAGTCTACCGCTAAACAGTTAGCTTCATGCGTATTTGCATTGAAAAAAAGGAATTAAAGTGTCCTCGGAGATGAAAGGTATGACTGCTTAGTCCCATGTCCACGTTGGATAATCGGAAGTAAAAAAAACAACAACAAGTTTTTGAATCGCACTTAGTTGCAGAGTGTCCATTCCTGGGAAATGCTGAGAAACCGAAACTCAAGATACTTGACACTACCAAGATGGCCGTGTGCACAGTGCTGTTAGACCACCAAGCTGTTTCACACAAGGTCTTATTTCCTGAAATGGCAATGAATATCGGATATATGGTCATGGGCACCTGGAAGCATTTTTTCAGGGAGAGCAATCACAGGTAGAGGGCTGGAACCTACACCTCCTAAAAAGATAGAGGGGGGGGGGGGGGTGCAATTTATTGTGAACTACGTCTGTCCCAATCCCGTGTTGGAAGTTTATATTAAATATTGAGACACCTGGACCTTTCTTCTTTTTCAGATTGAAATGTCGCCGCCCTCTGCGGTGGGCAGCGAGGGTGAAAGCAAGAAGAAGAGGAAGACAGAGGACGGGACGTCCGGTGTATCGCTCGTGGACCACGCCCGACTCGTGGAGAAACTAAAGACAGCCAAGCAGAGGGTTGTGAACCTGGAGCAGGAGCTCCAGATTGAGAGGGCATTGTCACGAAGACTGCAGGAGCAGCTGCTGGCACTGCTGGGTAAGCGTGTAGGCACTTTCAGTTGCCCACTTCACACACTACATGTTATGTGTACTCCCACTTTATCCAGGAGATCAAAACAACCTTTAATTTTTTCTTGGTCGCAAACAAAATTAAGCATATACTGCTGGTTTGCTTCAATGTATCAATCAGTTCAAGAGGTGTCTATAATTCTCTTTCCTTCGTTTAGGTTGCAAATGGAGCTTTGAGAGTTTGTTCCTTGTTGCTGATGACCCCGTTTTGCTCCGCAGCACTCTTGCATTGACCAGAGAAATACTTTTCTGCAGTTCGTCAAACAATCATGTCCACACCAAGACGTTATTGTCCGTCACATAGATGAGGCCTTGAAGTGTAAAAGGTTTGTGCAGTCAGTCACAACATTGTAATATGCACTTTCCAATAAGCCCGGCCAGAGTACATCCTTTCGTCATTGGGGAGAAAGGAGTTTTTTTTGTTGAGGAGGAGGAGGGAGTGAAGAAGCTGGTCGTAGGCATTACCACATCACCGAGGCTGAGCTTTAATCGGGTGGCAGATTGTGCCTAGCGATGCAACTGGGCAACTGGTCGAAAGGTGACCAGACGGTCTGCTAACAGCATTGGATTTCGTCCGAAAGATTCAGCTTACGTCTCGCCAACCGTCGGAAATACTTGTCATGAATATTCATTAGTTATTTACTGGTACTTCTTTGTAAACAAGCTCACTGCCAGCAAACTTTAGCGCATTTCGGTTTTTCTCTTCTTTCTTTCTTTCTTTTTTTTTTTTTTTTTTCTTATTTGTTTTGTATCCTGCTTGCAGGTTCTTATAGACGTATTGGAATAATTATTTTTTCGAAGAAACATCTTTTCCAGTCCCGCTCTGTTCCGGGAAAAATGAAGCCCTCATGCCATCAACTGACCAGGAAAGTGTTGAAGTCCGAATAATCAAGCACGTCTGAATTTTCGGCATCCGAAAAATCGGTCGGCTACTGTACCGTGTTTAGCCCATTTGCAGAGCTATTGCTTGCAGGAGAGCTGGTCTTTTTTCTAAACAGTGTTTTCTTATGTTGTAGGGGAGAATGCCCCTCCTGGCGGTGTTGGGCCAGCTCCTCCAGCTTGCCCAGCAGCAGTTCCTGCTGCCGGTGCTCCTGCTCCAGTTCACATGCGAGCTGGTGTGGCTCATGCTCCACCCATGCCGGCCGCTGATGTTGCTGCTCCAGCAGCGGACCATGTGGCAGGCCCACCGGAGGCACCTCCCCAGTGTGTAGCAGTGCTTGGAGAGGTCAATGGCGAGATAAGTTGAGAATTTCATGGAATATTCATTCCAGATATTGGGCAAGTGATTGAATTTTATGGTTTCCACAGCTCCTTGAATATGGTTATTTGTATGCTTCCTTAAATTGAACAATCGTCCTGCTTCAAAATGCTGATGAACGTAAAAAGTAGGGCCAGTCATCGATAAGATATTTCTTGCCAATTAATTGGTGCTTTTCTGTGACATTTTCTATCTGGTGTCCTCATTATATTTTCACAGGCTGTCTAGTGACCGGGAATTGTCAGGGAAATTTTAATTGCTGGGAAAAATCAGGTAATTGTAAGAGATACTGTCAAAAAGCGAGCCCAGTCAGGGAAAATGAGCCGAAAATGCCGTAGAGTGTCCTGAGCAAAGACTTGAGGTTTTGGGGGCAGAAACATAGGCTATAAATTCTGCTTAGATCGGTGCGTCGGCTCTGCTCACCCAATGTATAGTGTGCTGCCCGATGCAAAGAACAACCGACAAATCCAGTCCAAGCCTTGGATTGGATTGAGAGTGCGACAGTAGGCTAGATCCAGTTAGAGAGCTCCTAGATTTAGTAACACATGGGAAAGTTGCAGAACCCAATCCAAGCCTTAAGCCGAATGTATCCAAAAATGCATCTGGCGGCCATGTTGCCATTTGGTTATTTACAGGTGTGGTTGAGCGTCGTGTTTTCATTGTGTTTCCGGAAGTGGCCTCTTCACTGACGATGTCGGCGGCAAGAAAGTGCATCTGTGTTTTGTTTCACCCTAAAGGGAGGTGGTCAGAGTGAGCTAGAATCACTCTACGTTCCCTGAGTATCGAAACTCCCAAGCTTAATTTCAGAACCGCGTTGTGGCAGAGTAATCACACATAAACATTAGCGGAAACATGGTGCCCTGTGCTTTCAAAGCCAAGCTTGTACCGTGGAGCATCTGTATTTCAGTGAGTTCTTCAATGAGCTATCTGGGCCTGTAATAGCACTGGTTTGTTTTTATGACTTCTTTCCTCTTTTTGCTTGCTCTCTTTACTCTGAACTCACTTAAAAGGAAGGTAAAGTGGTTCTGTATCTGAGGAAAGAAACACACAAATCAACTATCTGCATTTGGCCTCCAGAATAATAGATATCAAAATTATTTTTTTAATTTGGTGCGCAGCACGGAGTTTCTAGGAAATTGTTTTCAACATAGCGTTGAAGCCCCTTTTTTGCGGAGTGCGACGTCGTACCCAGAGTTCTCAGAATCCCCACTCTCGCACCCCTTTGCACCCATCAAAGCTATGCACACACACTCTTTATATTTTCATGATGGTCAGAAAAAGATTTCACAACTGGTCTCACATGCAGAGGAATATACCTGGCAAGATTGTATTTGCACATGCTACCCATATGAGTGCACCTTATGAAAAAAAAAATGCACGCATGAATCTATGAGTTCCCGTTAGGGCTTCTATTTTTTAACTGGGGTAAACTTTGATATGGCAATAAAATATCGTAAAAATTATCTTGCCCCCCCCCCCCCAAAAAAAAAGGTTTTTCTTATGGATGAACATTCATCTAAGCTTATTTTTAGTAAAGCCATAAAGTAGCATAGTGGCATCTATTGTGACTGAAAATTGCATGGGATGCAAAGGAAATGCAATAGATGATTTGCTATTTTCCCAAGCACCCCGGCCCGCACGCGGGGAACAGACCGATTTCACACCTAGTTTGAGTACGCCACCACTGCCGACATGCATCGTGGGAGCTGTAGTCTTTCTGCACGCGCCACAACCCTGCTGGAGGTCTGCGCGAGCAGAGCACGAGGCGGCATGAGCTGTCTCGTGAACTGGCATCTGCCTCCTACGGACTACAGTTATGGTGGCGTCACGCATGCGTGGAACACTTGGTGAGATTGGTCTATTCTGGGAGAGACTGTCCCTCGTTTGGCCGCTCTGCCTTGAGATCGCATTGCCTTGTCGCTTGCCTTCTCTTAATCCTCTGTTTTTCTATCTCATCCTATTTTTATCTGTTCAAGTGTATTTTTTATTGCTTCTAAGTGTTTCTATTCCCTTCTGCACGCAATATTTCTTGTATATGTATAGTATTTGTGTCTTTATTTTTCCTTTTTTTGACGGGAGGGACGACGGACAATGCGCCGCTTCGCGCGTCGTTCCCCAGGTGAGTATTACCGTTGCTACCGATTCTGATCGTGCTGTTAGCTGTTCATTTTGGTTCAATTTGACCAGCGTGCAGTTGAAAGGAACCATTTATGAACACATGTCATAGAGATAGGCAGAGCTCTGAATCAACAATCGCGACGCGAGAGCCGAGTGTGCTGTGATTTGGCCGCCCGCACTCGCTCCATTGGCTCGCACCGTAGTCTATGCCTTCGAGTGCTGCTTACTTGACCAAGATACAGCACGCTGCTTTGTCACCGCGAATCATATGTCTGAATGTTTGCGAAACCGTAACACCATTTGGAATATCCAACACTGAGACGCCTGACAACTGCACGCAGCGGCGTGCAGTTGTCAGCACTTGGAAAAGGGTGTTTGCAACTGACAACCGCTTAGCAGATAGCGCTGTTCACACATATGCAACCGAGTAAGACCGAAAGAGACAAGACCAGTTTTGAAGCCTCTTGCGACGTCTAGGGACTGGAAGTGCTGCAGCAGAGCTGGTCCTAAGACGTCGCAAGAGGCTTAAAAACTGGTCTGGTCTCTCTCGGTCTTATTCGGTTGCATATGTGTGAGCAGCGCTTAAGCGCATACAAGCAGCGACGATGGGCCACCCGCGCTTGCGAAGGGCTCGCGCCGCAGCGTGCAATTGTCTGGCACCTTAGCATTGCATTTGCCTCAGCTTCGCAAACATTCGGACAAATGGTTCGCAGCAAAAAGGCTGCGTGCTGTATAATGGTCAAGTAAGCGGCACTCGAAGGCATACGCTGCAGTGCGAGTCGTCGGAGTGAGTGCGGGCGGCCAAATCACAGCGCACTCGGCTCTCGCGTCGCGATTGTTGTTTCAGAGCTCTGCCTACCCCTATGACATGTGCACGGGTGTTCATAAACGGCTCCTCTCGACTGCACGCGGGTCAAATAAACCAAAACGAGGAGCTAACAGAGCGATAGGAATCGTTAGCAATGGTAGTACTCACCCGGGGAACAATGCGCGAAGCGGCGCATTGTCCGTCGTCACTCCCGTCAAAAAAAAACAAAATAAAGATGCAAATAATATATATATACAAGAAATATCGTGCACAGAAGAGAATAGAAACACTTAGAAGCAATAAAAAATACACTAGAATAGATAAAAAATGGTAATGAAATCGAAAAACGGAGGATTAAGAGGAGGCAAGCAACAAGGCAATGCGATCTAAAGGCAGAGCGGCCAAACGAGGGACAGTGTCTCCCACAATTCCTCGAGCGCCGGCCGAGGCGCTTGGGGGATTTCACAAAAGGGCTATTGGACAGGACGAGCGTGTTGATAACAAGAATCAAACTTGAGGAGGAGAATTGAAAAAGACTGACAATCGCACACCCCCCAGATGGTTGTTTGTCCGTCCTTTTTCTTTTTCTTCCTATGGTTGAAACTGAATTGTCTGACATTTTCTCCCCTTTGCTTACATCAGGAGTCTCCAACCTTTTCGGTTAAGGGGCCGGATGAGCAATCTGTCGCAGTACCGAGGGCCAGAAAAATATATTGATTACAATAGAAGAAAATTCAGATAAATAAACCTAGATAAATATTTAAACGCAGAATTTGTTGAAAAACCCTAAGGTTGAGGAGTATGTATACATCAAATTACCATTTAATATTTAGCTAATTATGACAGTACACAACAGTTGTGACCATGAAAACTTGCCTGGCATAAATCAAAGTGTACGGGAACTTTGGCAGATTCACGCAGGGCAAGAGATTAAAGAGAATGATAAAACTAATGCTGAGAGTATGCAATAGTTGTGGCAGAGGAAGCTAAGCATGATATCTTTGAGAATGCAATGGTATTTTAACATAGTTGCACAGACATGAAGCAGGGGCTAAAAACGGCAATGCTAGTGGTGACAATTTTAAATTATCATATGGTGAGAGGACCCTTGTTGCAATGCAGTTTCTTTCGTTCTTTCTGGTATCCTAGTTTTTGTATTTACAGTGTGTCGCACCATCATTTCTTTGCGCGCACTTGTTTCTGTGCCGCTAGCGGCGGGTTTGCTGGAAGCGGGTTGCAAGCCCGGCTTTAGTTAGAAAACCGCAGCCAGCCGAGGGCCGGTCGGAAGACTTCCGCGGGCCGTATCGGTTTGGAGACCTCTGGTCTATGTCGTAAGGTGTTTGCATCCACACTATAGACCGACACGCTGTTTACAAACAATCCGGCATTTGCCCACACCAGGTGTGGGCACTGCGCGTGCGGAGAAACCAGATCTGCGTGAGGTGAAGCTTTTGCACATGCGCCGTGGCGACAACAGCGCCACCGCAGAGGCGTGACATCGGAGCCGCGTGTTGGTCTATAGGGAAAAAATGATAAAATTCATTGTGATCAATCTGTTAGGAAACCGACTTATCCAGTCCCTCCATTCAAAGGGCCATCATAGCACCAGATTTTTGTGGTAAATGCTATTTAACCTATACATACATCTATTTCTAGGTTCACCTTGGCCATGGTGTTCTAGTGGAAAAGGAGAAGCTTTCATACATCATGGGAGCCCGGGGGGACTCCATGTTCATCAAGGAGGCGACCAAGCTGGTCTTCGGCCGGGAAAACTTGAATGGCCGAAGTACGACTGGGGTGCCATGCCGGCGCTTTAAGGGCGCCGTGGCCAAGAGGGCGCTGACACCGGCCAAGTTGGGAGCAGTCCGGAGTAAGTGCCCACTTTTCACAGGTGTCTCATACTTGAGACAATCGAGCCTGATGGCTAATAAGACAAAATTAATGGGATAAAATATTCCAAGGCTTTCAGATGTTTCAGTGTTATAGGCTGTTGAAGGGTCATAGTTCGACTAGCTCTAGCCTTAGGAAGAAAAATAGTGATCTTGTCACGGTCATCTAGGTTGCTTGGTGGTTTGATGTATTCACACTGTGGAGGTTTTATAGTAACATGCTCTGCGTTGAAAATATCTGCTAATCCCCACAAGTTTTGGAGGGGGTCCCTGATATCAGAGGCCCGCTCGCAGGACTTCCTGCTGGCTCGTGGAGTAACAGTGAGCCCCTCGTACCTTTAAAAAAACTGTACTGGGAGGCACCTATTCTCTCTTTTGTAACGATCAGGCCACTAGCAAAGTTGTGAAAGTCAGTCTGTTTGATCACTAGAACTGCTGCAACCCAACTATGTCTGGCTCTGTCCTTTTTTGTACTGCCCATATTTTCTGAACCGCCTTCTCGTCGTGGGTGTTCATCCTTTCTAGTCTATTACAGGCTGAGTTTTCTTACCAGAGAAGTATCTCGTATGACTGGACCATTGAAGGGTCATGACACGGACATTAAATTAGTTAAATGATTCTTGATGTGAAATCTGTGTTGGAAATATATATACATGCCCATAAAGAGCAATTGCGCCTCAATCTTTCTTTTGCACAAAAAATGTTGGCCAAGAATTGTGTGTTCAGTGTTGCTTTCACTCGTCTCCATGTTGACATTCTGGGGCATGAAATATATTCGAGGTTCTAGGCAATCGGAGGCCCATGCTCATTACTGAAAATAGATAATTGGTTTTATAGAACATACTTTTATTTTAATTAACAGGCAGGCAAGCTGGTTAAGGATACACGTGGTAACCCGGGAACGTGGTGACAAAAAGGGACAGACAGACCCGAAGCTCTGGAGCTTTGAGTGTTTCTTTTCCTTTTTGTCCCCCCGCTCCAGGGTCTATAATTTTTACAAGCACTGAAATGCAAGGAACACACTGTTGCAAGCAAACTTCAAGTGCATAGTTGTGGAAGGTCACGCTAGGTCTGTTCGATTAGCCTGAACCGGCCGATCTACAGGGTGAAACAAGGAGACGGCAGGCTCTTTAAATCGACCGGAAAATTCGGTTTCTTAACCTATCGCGCTACGACTTTGTGCAGCGTTGCCCACAGATGGTGCATTCTTTTTTTGTTAAATTTGCAAAGAGCGAGCTTACCTGAGGAAAAAGTAAAGAAAGAAAAAGGCTTAGCCATACGGAAACATAGCTAAGTCACTGGTCTTCAGACAACACTTCGCCGTTTCGCACGGGACACAAGAGATGGCGCAACGAACGCCGCCAACGAAGAAGCAAATTGGCGCTGAGAGCCAGCATCTTTAGCAGACTATCTTTTCGACTCAAAAGCGATGCGACAACGAGGAACTGCAGTTCCTTGTCTGCTATATACGCCGGCTCTCGGCGTCGTCTGCTCGTTCGTTGGCGTCAGTTGGCGTCACGACCGCTTGCGCCATCTCTTGTCTCCCGTGCGAAACGGCGCCGTGCCGTTTGCAGACCGGTGGCGATTATCGAAACTGGGAAGTTCACGCTGGAGGCGGGACAACTGAAGCTGCTCCCTGTCGTTCGCACTTCGTCCACGACTAGACCACGACTCGTCCGCACTGAGGATATCAGTCCCGTCATCATCACTGCCACTTTCTCGAAGCACATCGATGGCGGCGTCCAACAAAATTTCGCACTTCGCAAATGACAGGATCAACCGCATCTTCTGCGCTTGCTCGGTGATCGCGTTGGACGTCACGGGTAGGGTCAGATTGCACACTTTTGCAGCGTACGTTGCAAGCCTGACTTCCAACTCCGGAACCAGACTTTGGCCTAAGGAAGCCTCTTTGTTTGCCGTCACAGTTTAAGAGCCCGCGCCACTGCTGACTCCACTGGAGCATCACCCGCTCCTACGGGTCGAACATGCGTCGAACAGAGCAGTTGTTGGTTGCTTCTGAGTGAACGAGCACTGAAAACCTAAACTGCCCGGATCACCCGTGTCAATACAAAAAGAAACCTAGTTAGCGCTCTAGCATGATCTCGTCACTTGATCAAACGATGTGCTACCGTGAATCGCACGAAAAACTGCGAAAAGCCACGGGGTGAGTGAGCCGGTGAGGCTGTTCTTCCAGCGGCCTCCGGAGTGGCTCTTACAAGAAGTGCCGCCACCCCCCGGGAGTCGGGCGCGCCGTGCGCTGTATACCGCCATATATTTTAGTTAATTTCCGAATCGCTATCAATAATACTCGTTCACGCGAATAAAAAATAATCTGTAAAATGAGCACGAAGAATAGTGCAATGTTAGAGTTACAGCCGGCTGAACTCGTAACAAACCGAGGTATTCATGATATCGCAGTTGTCTCGTTTTTCCAACGGTGGAATGCTTTGGTTCGATTATAAGCCGACCCCCCCACTTCAGATTTTCAAGAATTGAACAAAAGGTCGACCTGCATTCGTGTAAATACGGTATTGTTTTAAGCAGACTGCCTAATCACGTTTAAGTTGCTCTTGGGGGTTACATGGTATCACAACATATTAACAAAGCATAAATTATAGTGAAATTGCTTCAATTATAATTGCAGGAAGTAAAATATTTAATTTTTCAGACAACTATAGATATACATGAGAGCAATACATGACTTATTGTTGTATTCTTTTCCTTTGCAGATGCCTTCAACGAGTACATCCGGAGACATCCACGGGAGGCATCTCCGGGGAAGAGGGCAGCCCAGATGAACCACTATGTGCGGGAGCTGCTGCAGGATATTAACAAGAAGCTTGACTTCTAGGCTTGCTTAGAGGTCAAGCTTCTTGTTGATTTTCTGCAGTATGCCAATTTGCTTTCCTCATGACTTGCAGCGCGACTGCAGTGCTTGTCCTGTATTATCTCCTCTGTTTGTCCTTGTCCGAGTCGCGCTGTAAGTCATGATGAACTCTTGTCAACTCGTCCAATTGTCTATTTCGCTTTCCTTGAATATACATATAACCTGAAATTACCTGGCTCAAGCTCATTCTTTGCATGACAAATGCATGTGAATTGTTAGACCTGCATAGATCCATACGTCAATATGCAAACCATTAACACCATGCTGATTCCCATTACTGCATCCAAACAGATAAACCCATAAAGATATAGGTTTCTCTATCTGAACAGGTGATTCTGTATAAATATTGGTTCCTATATCCAAATGGGTCAACCTGTAAGGTACAGGTTCCTGTACCTAAACGGGTCAGCCCGTACAGGTACGGGTTCCTGTATCTGAACGGGTCAACCCGTACAGGTACAGGTTCCTGTATCTGAACGGGTCAACCCGTACAGGTACAGGTTCCTGTGTCTGAACCCATACAGGTACGGGTTTCCATTAGCATACGGGAGACCCGTATCCCATAACACCGTATGATTTCTACGGGTCAACCCGTATGAATTTTTATACGGGTTTTTTCAGTAGGGGACCAAGGAAACCCCGATTACTTTTTTTTTTGCGGTGAGTCATACGTACATTACATATTTTATTAAGCTGTACAAAGCGGCTATCAAGTCGCTCGTGAACGTTGGTAACGCCGGTTCAACCTCAGTGCGCTGTACATCGACCTCAAGTTTTGGGGTGTCAAATATGTGACAAGGAGTGTAAAAGCTACTTCTTTTTTTTTAGAGTGTATGATGCAACGCATGCACTTGTGTTCATGCGTGGCGGCGTTAGCACCCGCTAGAAGCAGGTTGTAGCGTATCACCTGACCGGCAATTATTTTCATGCAGCCAGTGTGAAGCGGTTAATTGAGGACACGGTTGAAAAATCCGAAAAATAAGGCATCAGTGTGCATGTTGTGGCAATAGACATGGGGGACGTAATTAAGCTATTTGGAAGTCATTTGGAATTGTCGTTGAAAAACTTAGCCGGCCAAAGACCTAATGTGTTCACCCATGTGACCCGAGCCGGAAGCTTTTTTTTTTATGCCAGATGTGCTCCACTTGCCCAAGAATCTACGTAATCATCTGACACAAGGGCAGGAGATAAAGCTGGCAACATATCTTGTGACCAAACTGCTTGTTCGGAGCCCAAACTGGCTCCCCACTTCAAACCAGCGTGTGTGCACCCAAGACACTATGAGAAGATCAAAGTGGGGTATTCCTTCAGCTCGTTGAACAATGACATTGCTGCTGCGCTGTGGAGGCTGGTTGAACTCAACGAAATTGGCAAGGATGTCCTAACTACAGTATGGTTCGTAAAATCCATCTTTAGGTGGTTTAAGGGGATGTCATCTAGGACATCAAAACTTGTCATTAGTGAGTTCAATGGGAATCAATACTTGAAGAATCTTTCGTTTCTTGAGGATGTCATTGACCTTTTTGTGAAAATTCACATTAGAAATGATGCAATGTACAGTTGGAAGCCAGTTCAGACGGGGATCGTTACGGCGACAACAGTAATGTTAGAAGTGCAGAAGCTGTTTTTGGAGGAGTTGGATTTTGCTTTTCTTTTTCTGAGTTGGTTTAACACGGATGCTCTCGAGAACTTATTCTCAACAATGAGGTCAAGGGATCCTATTCCCAGGCGACTGGAATTTCGCAACGCTTTGAAATTTACCACCTTGTCAAATCTTTTACAATCTAGAAAAGGATGTAAGTTACACTGACGCTGATGGCTTCATGCTTGCTGAGATGTCCTATGGCAAGCGCCAACATAGAGAGGGCAATTCTGTTTTCGCTCCTGATGACATGCTCTATCTCGAGGTTTCAGAGCAGGAATCGTTAACATACCTTGCCGGGGGTGTTGTTCAATGCATTACCTTGAGTTTAGCGTGCCAAGACTCTCGCACTGCTAAGGCTGACGAAAGCGATGCTTTCAGACTGATGCCGCTTAAAAGCTGCAACAAGAACAAAATGGTTCTGGTCAGTCCCTCCTGCTGCAGTGTTGCAGAACTCGCAGAAGCGTATTTCAGGAAAAGTGAATGCGACCTTCTGAACAACAAAATGAGTCTCCCACCTCTAAAAGAAAAACTATTGAGCTCGTTGTTTGCTGCCAATGTCTTTCCATCATGCCACAACGTACACAAAAAGGTTGTGACATTGTTTCTGTGAACAATTAAGGATGCACGCTCTTGTAAAGAAACAGAATGTCAAAGCGGAACTAAAGGAAGTGGCGTTGAAAAAATCTGGTTGCAGGAGCTTTGCAATGAGATGCACTAAATGTGCGATACGAGTACATGTTTTGTTTCAAGTGTTTTTGTTTTTGTACTGCTGTTTTTCTATAGATTTGCGTGATCGAGAAAAATGTTGTTTCGGATCCTTAGCCAACGCACAATAGTATGAATTTAACGAGCCGAACTCGGGACGGTGCGTGGACGGTGGAGTGTTCAAACCATCGGCGACAGAGCTGCCGGCGGTAACTATGTAAATGGATGAATGCTGCCGGCTGTGCTCCTTTACATTGGGCGGTAGCTTCCGTCACCTAGCCTGGACTCCTTTTTGCATCTTTCAAATTCTGCGTCAAACGTTCGTATCCCGTATGACCGCAAAACCGGCGTAACCTATTAATTTCGTGCAGAATTTCACATTTCCATTGATCTCTACTACCAATCTGGTAACCCCCTATTTATGACTACTTTCTGAGGGCGTCGATCACCAAATGTAGTGGACGACCGGCGTCGATGGGCGCCGCCAAAATTGTTTTGTTCCTTGGAGCTTGCGTTTGTGTCGCCGATATCGATGTTGCATGTTCGAAAACACTTTATATGTCTGCACGTTTCGAAACAAAAACAACAAGACACACAGCGAGCACGTTTTACCCCAATCACTCCTTACGCCACATTTCGTCCCCAATGATCGACGACAGCATTTCCTTTCTTTGGCTTTTCTTCCTTAAAAGCACATCTACGAAGAGCTGCGCTTTAAAAAGCCTACGGCAGGGCCGTGAGCAACGGAGCTACCGCCACGCCTCGTTCAATGATGGCACCGATTTATAGCAGACCACCGAATCACACGGTATCATAGGAAGGTAACGGTCACGTGTTGCGCGCGACCCAATTGAAGCGAGGGGAAAGATAACTTTTGCAAGGGAAAGGGCATGGCCGAGCAGAAATTTCTTTTCTCTATTTTAGGCTATGGTTTGCGCTACCTTTTAGTATATAGGGAACTCATCTGGTTCGGACCTCTAGTGCTAACTTTGCGTGGATTGTTCTGCGACGCGTAGTTTATTTTTGCTCAAAAAGAACCCTGCAAAATTTTTGGGGGAACGCCGTGTAGAACTTTCCGTTCTGTTGATTTTAGTGACATTCCGAGACAATTTGCATTTGTTTATTCTAAAAAAAAACATTTTATGGCCTTCTAAGTATTACTCGATGAAGCAGAAGTCATTGTGCGACGAGTCATCTTCTGAAACGAGGTTTAGATGACTTGGTGGTGTCGTCTGCGGCTGTCGCCGCTATAGCAAATACGCAAAAAAAGGAAGAAAATTATGCTCTAAATCACTAAAAAATGTTTAAAAATACTCAAAGCCTAAAAACGAAATAATTTTTATTTTGTGACCAATCACTGCCACCCGGTTTGCTCTCATTACTTGTACACATCAAAACGGCGGAAACAGACAGCCTCAAGCAGCGGCATCACCGTCCAAAAATGGGAGCTCCCAGGGACCTCTGGTGCCAGTAGCTGTATTCACAGCACAATAAAGGCTGGAATGTAGGAAACTTCACAAATTCACTCAGCCGAATGATGACATTTGCAGCCATCTCTAATTTCAGATTTCATGGGCCAAGGAAGTATTTGAACGACTGAAAGAAACTGAATTTTTTAGCATAATAATGTTTTGCAGAAAACATTGCTGAACTCTTGGAACGTGTAACGTTTTTATTCTCAATCCATTTCGTACCTTAATTTATCGCTCCTTATCCTCCTACCCCTTTTACCACACAAGAAGGGCAGCTGATTTCTAGGGGCTATTGCTCAAAATTGTGAGAAAGTTAGTCGCGCCGAGATGGACTCCAACAGCACGCTCTTGAAAGCGAATTCGTTTCTGTGCAACACACAGTGCAATAAAAAATACTTTAAGAACCTTAAACAACAGTATAAAAAAAAAAAGAAAAACACGCTGTAAAAAAACCACGCAGCCTCGGGTTTTTTCAACCATGCGCAATGTACACCAGCTCGTTTGCGCCCTTACATTTTGTTTATCACGCTGTAAGAGTTTTTTTTTTTTTTTTTGTGCGAGACGACGCTGTGGATGCTGTATTACGCCAGGATGTGCAAATGGCCCATTTTTTAATACGGCACGATTTCAGATCTCTACTGCGTCCTCCTAGGATAAACTCGATCGAGAACAAACTTCATGCGTATAAATACAGTATATTATAGTCTGCCAAACACCAGGAGATTTCCGAATGGGACAAAACCTCTTCAGCTTCACTTTAAGTGTACGCATCAGTGAAGAACAATTTAAATATTTAGATCATTGGCAATCGTGATGACAATTCAGAGGGGCTGCTTATGTTTGCTTTTGATATGTCGATATTTTTGTGTGTTCCTGCCATTTCAGCTGGCCCTGAATTACCGTGCAGTCCCGTATATTTTTATCTCGTATTATTGCGATATGTTTTTCTATCTACGTTTGAAGATACATCCTCTCCTTGTTAGATAAACAACATCATCATCTACTCAATTATTTCTGTGTCTGAGCACCAATCCGTGGAAGCGGCGCAGATTTAAGATTGCCTACAGCAATATACCTTGTGAGTGCCGAAAACCAAAAACCCGGTTTACAGCGCTACGGGATTTGGCATTCACGTGACCACCGGGCCAAACCTATATAGCGTCTAAACCCCATTCCGAAAATACGGCTTCC